TGTGTGTGTGTGTGTGTGTGTGTGTGTGTGAGTGTGTGTGTGTGTGTGTGTGTGTGGTGACATCTGGTGGTGTAAAATGTCAAAGGTACATGCAAATATAAAATTGTTCAAAACAATTACTGTTGAAAAGTTTCAGTCTCTTTGCTTCTTAATATACTGTGTTGCCTTCTTAAGCATTCATGAATGTTTGCATTTTATGTAAGAGATAATGAGTCTCAAATCTGGATCTGGAATAAAGAAAATCTTTATTCATTTTATTTGTAAATATTATTTTTACATTTCATATATGTATGTATATATATATATATATAATTTGTAACTTTTCATTTTAACAAAATAATTTTTTATTCTTTATTTATTGTTTTTTAAATAATAAACAACTTGCAGATTCTGAAATAATACGAGCATGATTCAATCATTTTATTTGTAAATGTTAACTAATTTTTATCATTGTATTTTTCACACCATTTATTTTATTTTAAAATGATAAACATCTTGCAGATTCTAAAAGGAGGATGCAAGCTTAAATTAATCATTTAGTTTTTAAATCAATAATTTTGTTTTATAAATTTTTTTGATTCTGGTGTTAATTTTTAATTGTTATAATTAAAAAAAAATAAATGCATAGAATGGTGTAGAATCTTTGAGTTTATTTGCAGTGTTAATTATTAAGGATCTTTTAGGAACACCATTGACAAAGTGCACGAGAATAACAAGCATTGTTGTATACTTGCTGTTTACAGAATTTTAAGTATACATAAATGAAGTACACTGCACAAATAGCCTACTGTATGTACATTACAGCATATCAGCATGTATTATGGACCAAAGACTTCAGCTATTCACTTAAATGAGCGAGGAACGTCATAAGCTCAGGTATATCTTAATTTTGTAATTAATATTTCCCTCACTCACCCTGAGGCTTTCAGTCGTTTATTATAACTGAGTACTAGTGTGAAAAGTGTGCAGTACAATGAACCCATTTCTTTCAACATATATTTATAATAAGATGTGTCGGAACCCATTTACATGAATCACGAAACACATCAATTAATTCATCTCACTCACACACAAAAAAAACAAAAAACACAGATTCAGTATTCCTCAAAATGACTAAAAATAATGCAACTCAGAATATGATGCAAACCTGCAATAATTAAATGTTAAACAACACAAATATGCTTTATGTATTTAATCCCATTCTTGGATTATGCAGTTCAAGTGTACTAATAAGCACAAATTACTCTAGACACACATTTGTGCCTGTTTATTGCTGAAGTGTGTTGAAATGTCTTCTTCTGCATTCTACTGTACTTTCCCTTCAGCCTGAGGCGCATTCATTTCACTTTTGGTGTGAAGAGGCTTTTATATTTGCCAAAAATATAACTTTTTTAATTTTAAAAATAAACAAGCAAGCCCTCTCCAGATTTCAAAAGTAACGTAACGCATTACTTTCCATAAAAAGTAACTAAGTAACGTAATTAGTTACTTTTTTAGGGAGTAACGCAATATTGTAATGCATTACTTTTAAAAGTAACTTTCCCCAGCGCTGGTAATATTAGGTTATCAAAAAAGTAAAGATCTTAAGCAAGTTCGTGTAGTTTTCTTTGCATTATTAAATTATATTATTAATTATGAAATAGACAGTGCTGCTCACAAACATCATGTTTAGATCATATTTAACCCAAAATCAATAGACATGAGACAATAAATACAATTGTAAATATGAAGATAAATGCATTTTTTTTTTTAAGGGCTTTTTTTTTTTGCATTGTGACATTATTATTATGAATATTAAGTGGATTTACCCCCAAAATTCTAATTTCAGTCTGCTAAAAAAATATTTAAATTAATGATAAATGTTTTTTGAACTGAATGCAATAGCCTACTTTTAATCAAAAGACTGTAATGAATACTATAATTAATTTATTTTATTATTTAGCATTTTGACATTATCTTCGTGAGAATTAATTCAATTTTCCCCCTAAATTCTCTTAATATATTTATTTAAATTGTACTTATCATATATTTATTGCATTGAATTGTATTTCAAAAGTAGCTAGCAATGATGACAGTGTATCTCGCAATGAATTGAATATGCTATTAATGCGAATTTGGTGAATTTAACCAAAACACTTGAACCAAAATATGAAAAGTAAAACATCCATTATATTAATCAGCAGCCACCTTGCTTTGATGATTTTGCCGTCAGCCATTAAAACACATGAATCACTACTATCTATACATGCACAGATTAGAAATGTGTGCTAACGAAGTGATTTCTGCAGAATTCTTTGGCATCAGCATCACGGTGTTCTCGGTCGTATTCCGCCTGCTCAACTGTGTCCTGCTCCAGACCAGCCTCGTCCCGGATGAGTACTGGCAGTCGCTGGAGATTCCCCATCGAATGGTCTTCAGATATCCTCGTTTATGCACTGAGCTGTTTAGTTTGAGTATTATACTCTGGAGAAAAATGTGCAAATGAGATCCTTAACATATGTCTCACCTATGGCTATGAGACGTGGGAATGGAAGGAAGGCATCCGGGGATATTCCTATCCTCTCCTCTTCGCTCTGATGTACAAACTCCTGCATCTGATGAATTATGACACAGTTTATTTATTGGTAAGACTTCAGTGCATTATATAGGCCAGACAGCAGGTCTGATTGTTCTCTAACATGAATACCGGTTCCTGCAGGTGTTTGTGCCGCGTATTTTCCAGGCGCTGCTGGCTGCGTATGCAGACGTGATGCTGTACAACCTCGTCCTGCGGTGGGAAAACTCCAGATGTGGCCAAATGGACAGTAAGACGACAATCTTAAAGGAATACTTCACCCAAAAATGAAAATCGGCTGAAGAATGTACCGTCCCAGATTAGGATGAGTTTGTTTCTTCATCAGATTTGGAGAAATGTAGCACTGCATCAGTGTCTCAGCAATGGATGCTCTGCAGTGAATGGGTGCCGTCAGAATGAGAGTCCTAACAGCTGATAAAAACATCACAATAATCCACAGCACTCCAGTCCATCAGTTAACATCTGGAGAAGACAAAAGCTGAAACACATCCAGCATTAAGACTTTTTAACTAAAATATGAGTCCATAATCCATAACGCTTCCTTCATTCCGTCTCTCGCATTAAAATCCAGCCACATATTTATTTTTTGACTGTAAACGCTGCTTGATCTGTGCAGATTTCTCTCCTGATTCACACCAGAACACTTTTTGATTGTATAAAACAATATGGGCTCGAAAGGTTTGACGTTCAAAACGTCTTAATGCTGGATTAGTTTCAGCTTTTGTCTTCTCCAGATGTTAACTAATGGACTGGAGTGCTGTGGATTATGACACTGATGCAATGCTACATTTCTCCAAATCTGATGAAGAAACAAACTCATCTGCATCTGGGATGGCCTGAGGATGCACACATTTTCAGCAGATTTTCACTTTTGGATGAACTGTTCCTTTTATGATATTATGCAGATACACATTACACAATCATTAAATAGAATGCTTTCGTGCTGGTTTGACTCAGTTCTGCTGTGTTTTCTCAGTATTTCTGTCAGCTGTGTTCATGGTTCACCTGGTTCTGCTGCAGCCGGACTCTGACCAACACTATGGAAACGGTTCTGACCACCCTGGCGCTTTGCTTTTACTCCAACACGCACAACAGGTGGGTCATTCTTTGTCAACTCAACCAAATTTTAGATTTTGCTAATATTTTTTCTGAAGAAAGATAAACATGTATAGTGATGAAAGCCAAAATATTAAATGTCATGGATAAATATTTACGGAGTAATCCGGTATTTTGTAGAGAGGGGTCAAATTGGCAATTTTCACCTGAAATTCAGAGTCAAATTACAAGTGGTTAATAATGACTTCAGAAAGATGGCAGCATCATAATGTTATTTTTACACAGAGATTCTGTTAGTAAAATCTGTTCACTCTAGCAATCTGTGTTGCATTATGTGCTAAAGGTGACCAAAAAATAAATAAATCGAAATATTGAGAAAATTGCTTTTAAAGTTGTCCAAATGAAGTTCTTAGCAATGCATTTTACTAATCAAAAATTAAGTTTTGATGTATTTATGATAGGAAATTACAAAATATCATCATGGAACATGATCTTTACTTAATATCCTAATGATTTTTGGCATAAAAGAAAAATGGATAATTTTGACCCATACAATGTATTTTTGGTTATTGCTACAAATATACCCCAGCGACTTAAGACTGCTTTTGTGCTCAATATGCAACAATATGCAATGTGGTCCAATGATGGAATTATGATAGCTTGTAATTCAATGAGATCTTTATTACAGTAGAGCAGATACTTAAATAAATGTACAAACCCGATTCCAAAAAAGTTGGGACATTGTATAAATTGTGAGTAAAAAAGG